TTTTTTTTTTTTTCCAAGGATAAATTTCTCATCCCAACCTTCACTCTATTCATTTTAAAAAACTAACACTTAGATGAAGCTAGATATTGAATTCCAAAATAATTTGGAATTATTGCATCATTTATGGAATCAACAACTGATTCCGTTGTTGATTTAGATATCTTGGGTCTGAGATGAGAATGATTTATGGAATCAACCAACTTTTTAAAAGGTGTGAACGATTTAGATATCTTGGGTCCGTTGTCCAAAGCGATGGTGATATAGATGGGGATGTTAATAGTAGAATTCAAGTTGGTTGGTTGAAGTGGAGGAATGCTTCGGGCCTTTTGTGTGATAGAAAAGTACCGTTTAGATTGAAAGGAAAATTTTATAAGACGGTGGTGAAACCTGCAATGCTCTATGGCGCTGAATGTTGGCCTTTAAAAGAGAAGCATAATAATAAGTTAAGTGTTGCCGAGATGAGAATGATTAGGTGGATGAGTGGCTTTACACTTAGAGACAAAATGCGGAATGAATATATTCGTGATAGGGTTGGTGTAGCTCCTGTGACAGACAAAATTAGAGAAAGTCATCTTAGATGGTTTCCGTTGACCATCTGATGATCTGATTAGGAGAGTAGATGTTTTAGATTCGACTTGTGTTAAGAAAGGCAGAGGTAGATCTAGGAAGACTTGGGCTTACTGTATTAAAAATGATCTTAATTTACTAGAACTAAATGAAAATATGACACTAAATAGGACGCAATGGAGAAAAAGGATTCATGTAGCCGACCCCACGTAGTGGGATTAAGGTTTTGTTGTTGTTGTTGTTGTTGTTGGATTTATTTTCCTTGGCACGAAAAACAAGAAAGCACTTCTCCATATGTATGACCGCCAACCAACAAACACCCTAAAAAAGCTTCTATTTTTAACATGAAAAACAACAAAGCTCTTCTTCATATGAATTACTGCTTACCCACACACGCCCTAATAAAAAGCTTCTTCTTCTTCTTCTTCTTCTCTCTCTCTCTCTCTCTCTCTCACACACACACACACACACACACACACATTAACTTTCATTTTAGTTGTCATCTCACTGAATTTTGTCCCAGAGGTACATTGCAAGTGGTGCATCCAAATTTATAACGGTCATCAAATGACAAAATTCGATGTGTGTGATAGCACCATCCAGAGCAAGTTTCAAAAACTCTTATTAGGTTTCCATTTCAACTTATCATCACTTATTTGTGTTGTTGGAAGTTTTGACAATTTTGGCTCTAGTTAAGTTTATAGGCATCTTTTTTATTTAACATAAGTTAAACCCTAAACCTTAATACGGAAAATTATTAATAAAATTTTGCTTTAAATTTTATTTTTTTAATAAAAAAATTTCGATGAAGGAAAAAATGCTTCCGAGGAATAATCTACCTTAAAATATCCTTCAGTATTTTAACTTTAAATAA